TCTCTTTATCCACAACGAGTGTGGCTTAAGACATTTACGTGGTCCAGGAATGATGTGTTTTATTCTTCATGCTTGAATTGTTAAGCTGCAGAATATTCTGGAGTGATGCACTGCCTTTCATTCAGTATTCATTGCATCAGGGAGGAGGGAAGGAGATGACTGCATAAGTGGCTCAGACACTAGGATGGGAGAGAAGAGCTTGGATTTCAGATGTCTATCCAGTCAGTCAGCAGATACATACATGTATTTTTTTTTTAGGAAGTAATGATTTGAGTGAGACTTCAACTCTGTCCTGATCAATGTGAGCCACAGATATACCTGCATGTTCTCTTCAGCACAGTACCGATAAACTCACAGTTTCAACAGTTTTTACTATCCAGCCTCCATAGAGAAAAGGTTGCAGCACTCTCAGTGTGAAATGCCTTGTGCAATATGTGATTGATCCTTTTGCTAATGGGCATCCTGATGGGGAGACTCTTTTTCTAGGAGGATTCATGGGAAATAATGTTTTAGGAGTTATTGGCTAATCAGGTGCATATCCATGGCACCACAGAGCATGAGGTTATCACCTGATAGTGTCTAGAGCATGGAGATTTGGACTAAAATGCAGCTGGAACAAATGAAGCATGCAGTCATCCTGTGCAAGATGATCTTTATTCCTCCCTCTCGTGGTAGATTTTTCCCATATTAAAAATAGATATTTCCATGTCAAATTTCCTATTTTCCTAAAGAGAAAATAAAAATAGACTTCTCAGAAACACCGTTTTTTGTGGTCAAGTTCATATATTGGAGCTTGTGGGTTATGCTTTACTTCAGAGCGTTGCACTGCATTGTTGAGGGGAAAAAGGAGATTTAAAACAAAAGTCTTGTTTGCCTCAGCTGCTGTTATGGTATATTCCTCTTTTTGGAGCAAATCCAAATGGGAACATTTCAGTCTTCAGTGCTTGTGTCTACATAGCCTTAGCACTGGCCTTTTCCTCTGTCAGCATGCCTGTTCCCTGTATAGGACTGTAACTGTGAGAGTATGTTCAAACCAGACCTTGGGATCACATTGGCCATTTTGTCATTTATATTTGACCCTAACCACTTGGTTTGCTTCAGTTCTTAAGGACAGAGTAGCAAAATGCCACTGGTGCCTAAGCTGGCAGGTACCGAAATCACAGTTGTGAATTAAGAGGCATTTCCTGACAGAAGCTGCTCCACTCATTCCTGGCTTTCTGAGCAGTTAATATACTTCTTTTCTTCTTATTACTACGCACATCTGCTTTGCTTCTGTGTCTGGTAACTCCGCAGAGTTGTTTCACACAGGAGGGAGAAATTACTTTTTCTGTTCCCTCAGTCACCCTTAACTGAATTAGCAAGAAATTCTGTTTTAGGGCATTTAGGGCAGATTGTTCATGAGGATATTTAGGCCAGTTTCACAGCTGGAAATCAAGTGAAAGCTGAGTTTGGATAGGAAGTGTTTTGCTTATGAATTTCAGTTTCTAGGAGAAGGAACGAACAGAGATGCTGCTTGCTGATAGTTTTTTTTTTTTGGAATGATGTAGTTTCCAGTGCAATAGTCTTCCACTCTAAGGGTTGGGCAGTTTGTACTATCAGCAATAAATTCTGATCTGGAGGGAATTGTTGCTTCAGGCTTTGCAGAAAACATATCATCATTAAGTGCATAATAAATACATCCTCAAAAATAAACAAGGGAAGCCAAGCAAAAAAAATAATAATAAAAAAAAAAATTAGACAAAGTTTGTGTAACATGGTGTAATTGGCAGATCTGCCATTCTGGAAAAAACAAAGAGAACTGGGAGAAGGAAGGCAGCTTGAAAACGATTGCAGCAGACTAATGTAAAACTTCCCTGAAATTTTGGTTTTCTTTGGGTTTCCTAATTTGTAAGGCTGGTTTGCAGCATAGCCTTATGACAGAAGGTGAAGCATGTTTTCACATGGTCTGTGGGAAGAGTTCAGCCTCGCCCATCACAGGTAAACAGCAAATCACTTGAAGATAGATGTGCCTTCTAAGGGTAACCTAACTAATACAGCAAGACTGGGAGGGAAAGGAGTATATAGAGAGGAGTAAGGCAATTATTGCCTGAAACTGCTGTTATCTGTGTAATGTTTGTGACCAGTGGCCTGAGCTGTCTGCCAGAGTAATCTTCTGCCCCCAAACTCTGCTCACACCCTCACACAGCCTGTATGTGAATCCTGGCCTTGTACAAGGCTCGTGTTACAGGGTGGCTTAAGCACTGTTTGTGACAGCATATCTGCATCCATAGCAAGCAGTTAGGGCTACTTGAGTTAAGTCATTGTTGTTATCCCAGTAGGGTTTTGTATCATAGCGAAGGCTTGAAGGTCAAAAGAAAAGGGACAGGCTCGGTGTATGATTTCACTGTTTCAGAGCAGCAGAAATGGTAATGAGAATTGGAATGATTGCTTCCAGGATTCATGACGTTTGTAGGGGAAGTACTGCAGGTCTTGGGAAAGGCTGTACATTTTGGGTTTCTTCTCTAGTTGTTTCATGTTTGTCTTGCTTCATTCTGACCTCAGCCTTTGGTAAATGAAGAAAAAAAAGAAACACCCATTGCTCTGCTAGAGTTAAGGTTCTCTAAATTGGAGCTTATGCTGACTGTGTGGCAGTTTCCAGAGGTACCCTGCTGTACTGTAAAACATCTGGACTCTTGGCTCAGTGATGTATCACCCATATGCCTGCCTACTACAGTACTTGTAGCAGGTATTGTTTCTTGTATGGGCAGAGTCTGAAAAGTGTTCAGCTTCCACTTCCTGAAACTTGGTGGCTGCTTAATTGGAAATTAAAAGTGCATGAGGCTTTCTTTGGAAATCATGTGGCCTGGATCCAATGACCAGGTAACCCATATCTATCCCACAGCATATCCAGTAGTAGTTTTTTATAATAATGTTTTGGTAAAGTAGAGGTTTAAGGGAGCTGTTTACTTACAAGCCTATTTTGATTCCTTATAAAGGAGAAGGCTATAGAAGGTCACTTGGAAATGAAGTAATTCGATGAACCTAGGCAACAGGAAGCAAAATAGAAAGATGATATGGCAATTGATGCTGGGAAGGGATCTCAAGGTTAGCTATGAGCAGGCTGTTTACAGTTTTGACTCCTGGGTGCCTATTGTTAAGGAGGAGAAGAGGGGATAAAAAACTATAAAGAACACAGCAGAGGAGTCTCCAGCATTCTCCAGTGAAGAAAGAAGAAGCAGAGGTGGTAGGAAGCTATTAAATAGGCTATAGTTGGCATGACACTCATGACAGATACCAAAATGGTGCCCAAAATGCAGAAAACACCCCTGTGACTAGAAGTGGGGCTACACAGGGTATATCTGTGGGCTGGATCCAGCCACCAGGCCACAGGTTCCCATCTTTGAAGATTGAGTCCAGACCTCCCTGCCACATACTGAGAGCAGTTACTGCTCAGGAAAGAAGTCTCTTTTCCAGCCAAGGCTGTCCTTGTTCTGGCAATCTGTTCCATCTGTGCTGCTGGTGTATGTGGTAGAAGGAACTTAGCTGAAGAGTAAAGGTTTATTTCTGATATCTGTGGTTTGGATGTGGAGAGACACAGTTTGAGAGCTTTCTAGTTCAGGATTTTTTGAAAAGAGAGATACTGGAAAAGCATATAGTTGGTTTCTGTACCTGGCTATTAAATGCAATGCCTTCTTCTCAGGAAAAATATCTCCACGGCTGAAGATTATATTCTTGTCTTTCAGTCTGTGAGTGGTTGCCCTAGCTCTTTGAGGTTATCACTTGTTTAAGCAACTGCTTTTGGGCAGCCTGTTCTTCTTGCTGTGGAGATAGCAGGTAGGTAGACAAAGCTTTCAACCTTTGTATTTTAAAGAAAACTTGTCCATCTCAGTATGAACGCACAGTTTTACCATATGTATACAATCTGTATATGTATTTTAAATTGTAAATGCAAGATTTCATATGGTGGTTAGCTGAGGATACTTGGTGATTCTTCAGCTGTGATTCTTCAGCTGCTCCCAGTTACCATTGCAGCGATGCCCACAGGCCTCGCTCAGTCCTTTGGGATCACTTTAAGTCCTAATATAAATGTATGAGCAGTAAAGAAATGGATTAGATGTGACAACCCCTAGGACAAATACTCTGTATCACTGTATGATGGAAACAGAATTATGCTCTGCAGGGTGGCTGCGTTGCTTCCTTGTTGGTGGAGAGGCTGGGATAGTAGTGCCTTTGTCCTGAAGTCCTCAGCTGTGCTCTGTGCCTTAAGTTCCTGGTATATCAGAAAATGTAAGGGCAGTATTCATCTCCTTGCACACTGGATCTGGGCTGTAGGCTTTGGATCACAGTTCATGCTATCAAATCACATCTGGGGCAATTAATAGTGGTACATTCTTATCTACTGGGCTGGAGCAAGTAATTTCAAGTGTGAAAGGAAGGCAGTTCTTCAGCTTCTTGTGGAAGTACGGAGTGGTTATCTCTCAGATCCCTGGAATCAATGTGTATAAACACTTGATTTAAAAAAAAAAAAAAGAGATAAAATGACAAAAGAGTTTTAGGGGCAAATAAAGCGTTGTGCTGAAGTATTGGGTACACGGAACGTTTGTTGTACTTTTTTTTTTTTTTTTTGGTGAATCTTGTACAAAGGTGGGAAAAGCTAATTTTAATGCTTGCCTAGCTCTATCTCTCTTTAGTGACTTAGAGTGTTAGATTTTAGTTCTTAGCTACTGAGATCACCAACACTCCCATGCATGAACATGTATGACTTTTCATCATATTACTTAATCTGAAATATTCCCTTTTAGCTAGCATTTTGGCAAAGAATTTCCTGGGCGCGTGGTGTAGCTCAGATGATTCATTGCACTTTGCTTCTCCTTTTATAGCATTGCAAAATTCAATAAAGCAGCAGTTCAGCTTTTAATCTGAGCGCAGTAGTTTATGGAGCAGCTGAACAGACAAGAGAGTCTTTCAGGTTCTCTTTGTTTTCTGAAATTAATTGCTTGATTTTTATTATGCACCTGCAGGAATTTGTTACTGTTTTGGTGCGAGACCCCAGGACGCAGAAAGAAGACTCATGGCATTCTTACATAGACTACGAGATATTTATTCATGTGAGTATAAAAATATCACCAGAGATTCTTTGGACTCGTACTATTGCTTCTGTCCAAGTTGGGACTCACTGCAGGTATTAATGGAGTTTCTTTGCAACAACTGTAGGAGGCTGTAGGATATTAGTCTCCTTTTAATGATTAGCTGCAGTGGAACAGGTAAGGATAGACTGGCCAAAGACCATGCAGCAAAGTGCCTGGGAGAGCTGGGAGTAGGACCTGGTATTGCACTCACAGTTGCATTCCACAGTGTCTTACAACAGATGCTATTCTTAGCTTTACTTATCAACTTAGAAGACTGTCAGGATCAGTGGTGTTTTACCATTACAAAAGAGTTCTGGTGTTCAAGTATTCATGCTGAAAACAGCTTTATTTGCAGGTATCTGTTTATTTGTCCTTCAAGTTCTTCTGTTTGCTGAGTTACTTGGTCACTGCAATGTGCTTGTTTTCAGCATACCTTGACAGTCATGACACGCCAGCTCAGTGGTGCTTGGATGTGTCAAATAAGGATATTCTGGTTCATAATTGTAGTTTACCTTGTGTTAATGGGAGTGCCCTTAGAGTCATAGCCTCTTGTGTCTTAAATCTGACTTATACATAAGTTTATTTTCTTTAGTGGATGTGACTTACTTTAATTTCCTAAACTAGAAAAGTTATCTTGATTTCCTAAATCTAGATCCAGGGTTTTTAATTACAATGTAAATAAAGTTTTCTGAAGCATGTCAGCTATTGGATGAAGAGTTTGAGAACACCAGGTTACCTGGTTAGCACAAGAAAGAATGAATTTCTCTTTGTGGGAGTTAAGCACTCTGTCGAATGATTGCTTGTTAAATGTCCATCCTGACAAGCACTTCTACCCTGTGTGTCAATCAGCTGTGAAACTTCTGCAGTGTGGGTTAAGTGCTGATTCAAAAGTGATAATAATTTTGACACACAGGTAAGAGAAATTCTTTCTATTTAGCAGTGGGTGGTGTGCTCTGTTACTGTTTCATAGGCAGTAGTGTTTCTCAATAGAAGTGTAGTACTGTCTTCCTCAGCAGCTGTTAGAATCATAGAATGGCTGGGATTGAAAAGGGCCACAATGATTGTCTAGTTTCAACCCCCCTGCAGGGTTGCCAACCACCAGACCGGGCTGCCCAAAGCCACATCCAGCCTGCATGGTTAAATTTGAGACAAAGTCATTTAGACACAGTGTTATGTGACTCATTGCTGAGCATTTCTGAAGCTGGTAAGCATCAGCTCTGTTTCCTGCCAGGACTCTGACCAAGTATCTAGATCAGTCCTACCACCCAGTCTACCAGTTGGATTCAAAGTCTTGGTTCTTCCAGGTTCCTAGACCAGCTGGATTCCCTTTCTATCTCCTAGAGTATTTGACTTCTTAAGCTGTGCGCTAGCCAAGATACTCATCTGTTTCAGAAAGCTGGCATCTTTGTGCCTTGCACAGTCTGCATTGTACAGTTGGCTAACAGCTCTCAGCAAGATACTGAGGGCTGCTTGGACTGCAGACAATTTTATAATGGAGTCTTGTCTAGGAGATGGTGTTTCCCCTAAATGTATGCTCCACAGAAAAACTTGGCAAAAGCATTTAATCTTCATGAATTGTTTCTCTTTGAATTGGCATTTTCTGGTGGGGTAGTAGTGTTCTATGGGAAAATTTCCAAATTTTGCAAAGTGCAATTTCTTCAACTTATGATTGCACACTGTTAGAATAGCTAATTGTTTGCAGAATTATAACTAGAATAGCTAAATGTGGCTTTTTTCTGTAAAGTTTGGCATTGTCTGCTAAAACTTTTTTTTCTATAGAAAATTGTACCATTGTCGTGATTATCCTCTCAATTTTAAAAATAAAAGAACAAAAGGTGATGAAAAATTCACCTGAGAAGCACTACAAACTGTCACCAGTCCTGCCTGAGATACAGCACGGTCCTCAACATAAACTGAATTAATGTCAAACTTTCCACCGGTGTCGCAAGGATTAGCGTCTCAAATGTTTTTTTTATATCATGCCTGCACTTTATGCTGAGCTTGTTTGCAAAACATTATTTTATTTAACTTCCCAACAGACAAACAGTATGTGCTTTACGAGGAAGACATCCTGTGTTAGACGACGCTTCCGAGAATTTGTTTGGCTTCGGCAGAGGCTTCAGAGCAATGCTGTGCTCATGTGAGCAACTTTTTATTGCTGGTTTGTTTCGTTAAATATCTATTTAATAATTTATCAGTAACACAGGGAAGGGGAGCATTGTTTCCTCTTAATTCTGAGAACCGTAAAAATCAGAACTGGGAAGTGTCCTGCATTTCCTACTACTACAGTTTATAGGATCATAGTGTTTTAAACTCAGAAGAATGTGGTTTGTACTGATAACCTTTGTTTGGTGAACCCAGCCTAATTTCTAACAGATCTGAGGTGTTTCTTTTTGATGCACAGAGGTAGTGGAAACAACCAACGTGGCAAACACAGACTACTAGGCCATGCTGAGCTTGAGGCTGCTTAAACTAGTTGATAACAAGACTATAGGTGTATGTTCTGTGAGCTTCTGGGATGTGCATGGTAGAACCCAAGAGCGTAGAGCATCTAGGCAGGCATACTTGCAGTCGTATCAACTGGACCAGAAGAATCTGAATCATTCCTCCTTATGAGGTATTGTCAGAAGCCCTCTGATTTCTCAACTTTGCGTTGTCACATTCAGTTTAATGAGGCTTCTGGAATATGACTCATTATTTTCAAAAATGTGGGGTTGGCATTTGTTTGTATCAATTTTCTTCATTGTTTCAGCTTTGGTTTTAACTGTGTACTTGCTTGTTCTTTATAAAGACAGTTACCTGAACTGCCATCTAAAACTCCCTTTTTCAATGTGAACAATCCCCATCACGTGGACCATCGTCGCCAGGGCCTGCAGGAATTTCTGGAGAAGTAAGTGCATCTTGTCTTAACGAGGTTGGCTTTTTATGATGTCATCAATTTTGATTGAACGTAGTTCATCTCTGGTACCTGAGAGCCACCTTGTGGTCAACTGTACATGCTACATGTTTTGCTTTATTTGTGCAAAGTCATATTTCATACACGTGAATTCAGCTGTAGAGGCTGTCAGAAATTGTCAGCTTGAGGTTTTCTGTCATTTCGTGGACTGATTAGTAGTAATGGTTTAGTATTTATATTGCTTTGTGATTGGTTATTAAGGTTGAAAAATATTTCATGGTGATGCTGACTTTTGTCTTCCAAGAATAAGCTAGATATTCTTTATACAAAGAAATAGACTGCTTTCCATCTCTATATTCATGGAATATCAGTGTCTCTGAATGAATTCTGGGGTCTGTACCACTGGGAGCTTGGGAAAATTTGATAGCGAGTTCTTCTAACATGGATACTACCTATAATGCCAATTACTGTGTTTACCACTGCCAACATAAACAAGCTCTAGCAGCTGTGATAATTTTCACTACAGCTGCAGATTGTATAAAATCATTCAGCTGTGTGGTTATGTAAAAGATTTACGTAAATGAACACAGCTAGACTGTGACCTGAGTTACAGGGGAGCACTGTGTTAGCTCCAGCAGTGCATTGCTCAGTAATGCTGCTATAAAGCCCTTTACCATCTGCAGTGGCAGAGACCTCATAGCTGTAATTTTCTTTCTCTGCCATTATCCTATATCTTGCCACTGCTGTTATGAGTGCAGACCTGTTCAGTGTTGCTATGGCAGAACTGTGAATGACTTTGGATGCTGCCTTTAGCCTCTGTTCAGATTAAGAACATAGCAAACCTGAGAACAGAGACATTAATCTTCAATTGTTATTAATGTTTCTGTGAAGCAGAGCTGCATAAGGAAGAAAAATCATTTAAGACTTTAAGCCTTATGGTCAGGAAGCAGAGGAATAGTAGGCCCACTGTTTTTCCAGTCTGTATGTTACAATTATAAGTTTCCGTAGCAGACTGTAAATGCTTGTTTCTGAAATACATACATTAAGCTGAACAACTGAAGGCAGGGAGAGCTAGCCATTGCAGAGGCTCCATGTACAGTTGTATACAGGATCTGTGGCCAGAAGGGTAAATACTGGTTGAGGGCAGATAAGATGAGGAAAGGAAAGCAGAAAAGGATTACTGTGTATTTTCTTACCCTCAGGAGAGAAAGACACTGAAATATCGCCTCTAGAAGCACAGTCGCTAATACTGATGGTCAGCCAAAGAGTATGGTAGTTCAGCCCCTGTGTCTGAGCAATTTTACATTATCTGTGCCTCCTCATGGAGTGGTGAATTTTCAAAATCACTCTTATTTTAAAATGTTAACAGATTGGCCTCTGCACTAAGGTATGTTGTCTCAGCATCATAAATAATAACAATCACTGCCTGTGCTTCAGGAGGCAAAGCAGAGGTAGATTCTCTTGAAACAGATCATCACATTCTGATTTTGTGGATGCCTGTTTTGACAGGGTACTGACAGGAGAACATGATGGCTTGTTGAGCATTTTGCCTTGCTGCAAAATGTTAGTCCAGGAGTGAGGAAAGAGGCATCTTTGTTGTAAGGAAATGATTTAAACGTTTCAATTTGGATGCCTTTTAGAAAGGTGTCAGCTTTCCTCAGCCCTGGGGTCTAGTTGGAGGGAATTTGCAGAGATAAGTTGTGTGGTGATGAATTGACTTGGCAAATGGCATGCTGTACCATTGCCCTCTGCTGGCTGGCATGTTAGACGTACTGCTATTTATAGTTAGGATCTTTTTATTTGCTGATCCATATTGCTGTGATGCTGCTTTTATTTCTTTCTAAATAAGTCCGGACCAAAGGACTTATTAGATCTTACACTGAAAAAGCATCTGGGGGACTCATTAACTAGTGTGTTGTCTTTAAGTCTTGTGTGTGATCATTGCTGATTTTGGACTGCCCCAGCTAACATAGTGAAACTACTCCAATTCTTCTATCTTAATATATTGGTGGTTTATATACAGTTTATTTATACAGCTGATTTTTCTTTGTGGGATGAAATCTGTGCCACTTGTGTGCATCTGTTGAGGCAGAGGTTTATAGGTAACAGATTTCAAATGCCCACATGTAAGGAACCCAGCCTATATTTGATATGCTATAAGCTTATTGGATTGAAACCATACCTGCAGTGGAGTTCAGGTTTGTAAGAATTTCTGATTCTTCCCTGTGCCCCTTTGCTCTGTGTGAGAAGTTGCTGCAGCTTCTGCCAGGACTGCAGCCACATGCCAGAGGAGTAAGGATTTTGCTGCTGGAGGCAGCACCTTGGGAGCTCTGTGGCATCCTATCTTTGTCAACTGCTGTAAAGTCCCTTTGTTCTTCACATGTCAGTCAACACAGGTAGTTAGCATGGTGAGGTGCTTAAGAAGGACCTCTGTGTAGCTTCTTCCTGTAAAACGTGCCAATAGCTGGAAACTATATCCAAGCTGTACAGTTTGGCGAAGTCTGAAAACATTTCCCATTTTGATTTGGCTTTCCCACACCAGCACAGGGTAAGACCTGCTATTCTTACAGGTAATTATCTCTGAATGATGAAGAGCTGTAAGGCTTACTTCTTGCCTGGGTGTAATTTAATATTTCAAAAGTCCATTTGCATTAACGGAAGCCAGCTAGCCCATTTTCAATTACAAATTACTTTGTAAGAATCAGGAAGATTGTGGCTTTTTCCTGGTATGTATCCTCATGCATTTGAGGATGTCTGTAGGTTGATTCACTGGAAAAGCTTACTCTTAAATTGGAAGTCAAAATTGAAGCACTGCCGCTGCCGTATAGGACTAGGTTCTACAAGATCCCTTTTGCTTTCATCCCTGAATAGCTGAAGAACTGTAACTTTGGGATTCAGGTTGCCTTCCTTCCCACAAGCTTAAGCTGGCATAGAGGTAGAGGGCTCTTTCCTGGAGAAGTCCCCACGCCGTGACACATGGAAAGTGGGGGGCTGGTTCTGAAGAAGATGGATCCCAGCCTGCCAGGGCCTACGTGGCAAATTGGTCAGCACCGAGCAGCAAGAGCATTGCAGCCATAGGTAGGATTGACTCCTGTGAGTGATGGCTGCCTTTTCCAGTGGAGCTGTTCTGAGCAAAGCATTGAAGCTTTTTCCTATCTGGTGAGAGAAGCAAACCCACTGAAATAAATAATGCCTAGCAGACATGCTAATTCTTAAATGTATTCATTATCAGATCCTAAACAGTTGCTTCACAGTTGCTCGCTATCAGTAACATTTCCTCTGTTATAAAAAATGAATGAGGAGGCACAGTAGGCTTTTTAAAAGGAGGAAATGGAGCTTTGTTTACTGCAGGCTGTGCAGCCCTGCGCTCACTGCGAGAGGCCGAGCGGATGTTCAATAGAGGGCACCACAGCCCAGGCTGTGATCTGTTGTCTCTCAAGTTTTATTTTCTCCTTTCTTTCCTGATATGATGTAAATGGGCAGAGTAAATTTGTTGAAAACAAAATCGGAGTGTTAACCTTCCACACATATACGAGTGTGCATCTGTCATTGTATTAGGTTACAGTAGATACAGGAAATCTTTAGTTAGGATTAAGTTGTACTGTTCGGCCATATGTTGTTCTCCTCCAGCAGAACAGTGTATAATATACCTAATAAAATCATGTTGAAGAAAACCAGATTTTGGACCTTGTCCAAATAAGACAAAGCACATGTTTTCCCTTTAGTAAATGTTCTTGCTGTAAGATGGGGAAGGAGAAATACTCCTCATATACTACCCAGAGTTTCTTCAACAATGACATTACTACTTTTGGTTGTGAAGTCATATTTTCTGCCCCTTTTCTTTAAGGTTCCAGAGATCACGAGCACTTACTGAAAGCTTACAAACAGATTCACATGGCCACGAATAAAAAATGATTTTATTATCTCTAATTCAAATGTAGAGCCTTCTCTTGCAGCCCTCTTAATCACATAAGCAGTCATTATGCATGTGAGCAATCTGGCTGAGAGGAGTGAGATCTCTGACAAGTAATGACTGCTGATGTGATAAAGACTTGCAGGATTTAGCCTTTCATTGTTATTCTAGGCATGCACAGAAAGTCTGTTGTTCTCTTAAATGTGTCCAGTGAGTTTATAGGAATTATCATTGTGAGCCCCATGACTCTGACATTAGCACAACTGTGGAGGGAGCTGATTTACATCACTGCAATTGCAGCTTTGCATTGACACCTGTACTCATAAAACTGCTGGAGGAACACCGTCAGTGCTCCTGATTGGATTCAAACAGTGTGAATGCTTACTTGTGCTTTGGTATTAATGTTATATATATGAGTATTAATATTGGGGCATTCCACCTTTTCTTCTGCTTTTATTTATTTGTGTGTTGTGCTGTGAGATTTTGACCTTGCAGCCCATGGAGCCCAGTGTGTATTTCAGAGGTGCAGCCCCTTGCACAATGAGTCCCCAACTTGGTGAGGGCCTATGGGGTGGCTGCTCTGCCAGCCCTCAGTGCTGCTCCCACACCTGGCCACAAGCATGTGGTTATTTCCTTGGAACAGGATTTCCAACAGGAAAACATACTGCTGACGGATGGAGCAGAAATTATTTTTCATTTTGATTGCTAGAAGGATGCAATTAAAAAGCAATCTAACCTGTTGGTTCAGATGAGGGGGTGAAAGCAGTTATTTTTTAATTAAAAGAAAAGAGAAACGTTTCAAGGGTACAACTGGGTGAAAGGTGTGTGTGTGTGTGTGTGCGTTTGTTTTAACTGCTTTGCAAAATGCTTTGTGTGTTTGACGTCTTCCCCGCCCCCAAATGTGTGCATGCGATTTAGCTTAACCTGCGTCTTCCCGTTCCTTCCCCCCAGTTTCTCTTCCGTCATTTCAGCTCCAGATGGCGCTGTGAAGCAGAAAAGAAAATCACTGCGAAATAATGAGTCCAATGTAAAGTAAAATTGGGAATTGAATTATAGCAGCAAAGGGGGAAAAAAAAAAAAACAGGACAGTAGCCTTGAGGTCCCGATCAGTCTGTGCTCTCATGGCTTTTGTTTGCTGTGCCATGCGTTGGGTTACTGCTGAGTTAATAGCAGCGCTTTCGCAGTTCAAGGCTTAGCAGAATTGTACTGGACATGAAGTAAAGCTAAAATGAATTTGTGTCCAATATCATTGGCATTAGCGCTCATTGCTCCTCTGGTGTAATGCCTCAAACCATCTAAAATCAATTTTAAAGATTAGCCATTATTTTATAAAGAAAATAAAATAAATTCCAAGCAGCAACCGAGCTGTAAGCGTGGCATAATGGCACGAGCAGTTAGTTACTTGTGTTTTCGCTGGGTGGCAGGAAACTTTGGAAGGTAGAGGAAGAAGAAAAGCTGTGAAACTAAATGCCATGGGCAGAATTTAATCTCTTGTCTTTTGCTGTGTTACTTTGTATTAGACACGCCAATGCTTAGAATTGCAGAAATGTGCATCCCCCTCCTTGTGCTTATAAGCCTGGGAAAACGGGTAGCTCTCCTTCCTCGAGGGGTGAGCTCTGCAATGTTGTTTTTATACTTTTTAAATACTTTTTTTTCCTTTTCTTTTAAGAGGAGGAAAAGAGGGAGGAGAAAATTGACTCCCCTGAGCGCGCAAACCGTAAATGTGGATTTACTCTGTAGAACAGTATTTTTTTTCTCGTATTTTCTGTTGCAATGTTTGTCGTCTTTTGGAATGTGTTTATCACGAGTCAAGGCTGAAATCCTCTGTTAGCATCCAGTGAATGATGACTTTTCAAAGCATTCATGAGGCTGGTGCTGTCAAGGTGTGTAGACTTGTAAATTCTGTGATTTGGGTTGACTTCCAGGGCATTTGTTTGCTTCTTTATGAGAGCTGAGAAGTTTTTCAGTATGTTAATACACTGCGTGCATTGGCTTTACAGATACGTACTCTGTTTGCTATGTTTATTTTTAATTAGAGTTGTGAGAATTTATATGAGGTTGAGAAGACAACATAGGCATGAAAATGTGTTTTGAGTTTCAGTCAAGTCTGTTCCTTCTTAGACAGTTTTATATGCACCTGGTAGGTCACTGGGCTCACTGGAGGCATTTCCTCACTGTAAGAAGTCAAAGTTTGAATTATTTGGTTGAGAACGCGTGTGTTTGCCTAGGCAATGGAAATATGTGCAAACACAAATATCCTACATTTTTAGTTAGACAACTCTTATTATTTGTTTTGACTTGCCAGAATTGTATAGGCTTAGATAAAACCAGACATATGTTAGCATGCTAATTAAATGTTGTAATGTTGGCTATTTTAGAGCATGGATTTCAGAATGTATTTGTATTTTAAAATGTTACAGTCCAAGCACTTCATTAGTCTTATTTGATAGAAGGAACTGATCAGTTATGCATTTAATTTTAATCAGAGTACCTATCAAATGCACTGTGTCTTACTGCTTTTACTACTTCTTGCATTTAATGTTATTTCTTGTCTCCTGCTGCATAGTAATTATTTTTGGGGGCAACTGTTGTAGCCCAAATGGGTAGAAATAGGTAAATAAAGACTCCTAATAGTTTTGGTTTCTTTAAAGATATTTAAGTTTTATGGAGTGCTATTTGGCACGGCCGTAGACAGTAATCTCTTTACTCACCTGGATAGGAAAAATTGCACGTGCAAATAGGCAGAAAGTCTCTTGTTACACATTGTAGGATATATGTACAGAAGAATTCCTTCTGTAGAGAAATGCTACAGCAAAGCTGCAATATTTTTTTCAAAATAGCGATGGTGATCTGCAATTTTAAGTCCTTGCTGAAGTGCCTCTACAACGTTCTGTGTTCCTGGAACGTATTACACTTTCTTTACTCCACTATATGAAAGTAAGTGCTGTGTGCTAAACGTATTTGAAGATTTAACTTGAAATACGTATAAGCCAAATATGAAAACGGACTTTTGAAAAGCTAGAATGAAATTGCATGTAAGGTTCTCTGAGAACTGTTTAGAGGTATATTTAAAACTGTGCTCAGTAGCAGCATTTTCACTCTTGTTTAAACGTATGTCTGTAAACAAGTTCTGGCTAACGTTGGCTCTGTTTGCAGGGATTTCAAAGTTTTCACTGCGTGTGTCTGGAGCTCTGTGTCTCTGTACACGCTTCTGTGCCCAACCAAAGAAATCGGTGACTTGCAGTTTTCAGAATAGCTTCGCTATTTAAAAACAATTATCCAAACAGAGACCAAATTTTCGTTAGAGTCTCCAACTGCCTGAAAATAATTAATTAATCCGTGTTGTAATAACAGATGGTTACACGAAAGAAACGTCCTTGAAGTTATTCTTATAGCAGATGTGCTTAACTCTTAGTTTTGTGTTTTTACTCACCTGAAATTCCAGATAATGTAAAAAGAAACTGAAATTCCAGATAATGTAAAAAGAAAGTAACGCACACCTAATCATTTTAATAAGCTCACTACCTTCTGTAATTGATTTGGGATTCAGAAGGAATCTTAAAATCAGGGCATCATTTAGAATTTGTTCTGGTAAAACACTTCAGAATGTGCGTGTATCCACATAGAAACATTTCACTGCTCTTTTTTTAAAGGATTCTACAAAATGCATTATTGCTCTCGGACAGCAGGCTTCACCTCTTCCTACAGACTCAGCTGAGTCCGGAAGATATGGAGGCTTGTGTATCTGGGCAGACCAAATATTCTGTTGCTGATGCGATTCAGAAGTTTGCCTCTTTGAACAGGCGCTTTCCTATAGAAGATGAAGAGAGAAAAAAAGGAGGAAACGATGCAGACTCTGATTCGGAGAGGTGATTTCTGTATTTCCTTACTTCTCGAGATTGTGTGTGTGTGTGTATATACACACACACATATATATATATATACACACACACACACGCATGCGTGTGCTTCAGTTTTTTGTTGATGTAATACTAAGATAATGAAAAAATTAATTGACTGAGATTTTATTGAGCTGTGACAGCTCATCATAGAAGTCTTCACACACACCTCCACACTGAATTAATGAATGCAGTAGAAATTCAATTATCTGCATTCTGATTATGTGAATTTCATTTAGTCAGACTTGAATTATTCGCGTTTAAATTATCTTGCTAAAAAAAATATCCAACTGCACTCCAAATGGCTAATTAAAAGTCCAAATTTCCTGTCTCTCTTTGTGACTGGAGATAATTAAAGTTCTCCTCTGTTACTCAGGCTTTGAGTGTGTTGTGAAAACCAATTTCCTCCTTTTATTTTATTTTTTTCCTCTCCCCTTTTTCTGCAGTTCATCCTCCGGGCTTGGACCTAGTGATGACAGCGTTTCATGTGGATGTAAAGCAAGCCTAGCTTCTGAAGAATCATGAAAGATCAGTTCTGTATTCTTATCTTCAGGACAGCACAAAATGGTTTCTTCTATGTTTACCAGTTACATACCCCACATAAATGCAACTTGCTAGCAACAAGCACCTAAAAGACTCATTGTCAACACAACAGTATGTCCTTACAGAGTTTTTAAACAGGCCTCAATATTATTTCTTTGATTTATTATGTCTGCTGACTCAGGTCTATGTGTTACCTATTGCATTTACTTCTCTGTAACTATAATAATCTCAGCATTGGGTTAGTCGTGTTCCGCTGACTGACGTGGCTGTTAAAATATTTCCCTTAGTGAGTGCACGTCTTAGAGCTGGAAAAATAAAGATAACTTCATCCTCAGCTTTAGAGTTGGTGTATCATATCAAACACAGTCAAAGCATCTTTTTGTAATTTGCAACAGAGAAGTTTCATCTTTAGAAGTCATTTGACATTGGTGATGAAATTACATACCCCGCAAGGTATTAACTTTTTCAAGTAGCTCAGCAACATCAGCAAAACAACATTTGTACGAACTATACACTGCTGACAATTTGAGATATAAATATATCTTCCCTGATCTTTCTGTGATGTTTATGGAAAGCCTGTTTTTATCGTGTATAAGAACATAAGGCCAAAATTCTTGAGTATGGTTTCTTGGAAATTGGAAATGATAATAAAAATGACATAACTTCTAGGGTTGCTGAGGATTCTCAGTTCCCAGGGAAACGATGGGTACTCGTTCCCAGTGAGAATCTTGGATGCAGTCCATTAAAACCAATGGCTGAATTTTCCACTGACTGCACTGTGTCCAGGACTCCACCCAACATATTTAACTTCATGCACCTACATGAAGATGTCAGGAACCATGCTTTAATGTAGCAGCATAAATGCTGTCTGTCACTGCAAGGTGATGATGATCCCATAGCTGCAACAAGCTGCGTGAATGTGGGCTGGAATCTTTGGGAATAGCTGGAGCTGCCGGTTCCATTGTGGCTGCAGTTGGCACATGGATACGGAGCACTTCGCAAACAAAAGGCAGGCTTGGATACAAGTCTGTAACCACCAATTCTTATTTTGATTAAACGTCAGCGCTGCTCTTTATTGTTAGCAGCAGCTGTGTAGCGTCTTGTCCCAGGCTCTGTCAAAGGAATACGTTTTGCTGTGGTGCTGTATTTACATTTGACATTTAGCTGCTATTAAAAAGAGCTGGGGGGTCCGATGGGCCCAGCAGAGCTCCGTGTGCTCCGGCGCTGTGTTCCCAGCCTAAAATGGGTGCGTGTGTCCTCTTTAAGAAATCCGGGGCTACTTTCAAAGAAGGAGCGTTGTTCACCTCCTGTGCATTACAGAAACAATAGATTATTAACTGGACACCTCATAAAGGTTAGCAGAGGCATGTGTGGGCACGGTTTTTTCAAGCATCCAGCTGGGAATCTGTGTAATTTTAGAAACGTGTTCTAATAGCCTGAGGATAACATCTCTTAGGTAACTGCTCTGAGCCACTGTTTTCTGTTGATGGCAGCGCTTTCCTGAGATAAATACCCGTGCTTCTTTTTGCTTAGTCTGACTGAATTGCACAAATGGATCTCTTTGCCATCTCGGCTTGTGTGCCAGTTAGCAACGAAGCTGTTTTAACGTAAAGCTGATAACATTTAATTAAAGCAACAAGTTATAGCTAAAAGTAGCCTAAAAATAGTACTAGTGCCACGTAGGGATGGTTCCATTGCACTACTTTGTTTTGAGAGAGTGCATTATTAGAAAAATCGTTTTGGGAGCTTATTTAAAAGATGGGGATATATAAAGCTGGAATAAAGCTAGAAATGGGAGCGATGTCAGAGGATGATAGTGCTGTTTTTATTTAATGAAGTATAGGATGGGTGGGCTTGCTTTTATTTTTTTTAATATTATTTTTAGGTTTTGTTTGGAAAGCTCGAGCCGGGCTGCTGAAGCACTTCACTGCCCTGCCCTGCAAACAAGCCCTCAATATTTGACAAAGTGCAGAAACACAGAGCGTGGAGAAACCTTTGTGGCTGTTTTGTTTTTCCATTCCAGGAGCTGATCTGTTTGTGCGCTGCTGAATGGATTCCAAACAAAGGTGTTTCTGAAATAAATATCAGTTTTCTATCAATTCTATTCTTATCTTGCTCTTTCCTTTGTCAGATTGCTCAGAAGTTGAAATTCTACAGCAGCTCTTTCTTCTGATCGGGCAGAAATGTGTTTAAATATTTATCTTCTCACTGTTGGGTGTATTGGTTGTACTAGTACATCTTTTTTATTATTATTAAAAAGGAAGGAAAAGTGTTCTATGTCCCAGTATTTATTTTGTGTATCAGCTGTATGTGAGTGCACACGAATGCTTTAATTGGAAGCATTTAAGTGCTAGTTTCTATTTAACTTAAAGATATTAATAGGAAATCGGTGTCTTTTGCAACTTAAGCAAGGGGGTGATTGTGAGAGTCGTGCATTTTGCTTTTGCAAGAGCAGCCCTGGCATTCAGAGTGGTATTTCTTCGTTTTGAGCCATGCCATTTCCTGCTGGTCTTTCAAACAGGGTAATGTTGAGTTTGTAATACATTTAATTACTATTGCCAATTTCATCTAATGGCAATAATTCTGTGCTCAAGTAATTGCACTCAAACGCTGCGCTTTAGCTTTTGCTTAGAATGCAACATTCCTATTTTAATTTTTTAAAGTTTTCAATTAATTAAACCCAGTTACCCCTTTTATCCTGTGTTTATACCTACCATTGAGGCTTCCTCTTTTTTTCTATCAACAGCCTATTTGCTTTGACTTGCCCTGTATAATTTCAACTATTTTTTTGATATGTGCATACACAGTTGTATTTGCTTTTCTTTCTGGTTTTGTCCTTTTTTTTTTTTTGTTTCTTTCTTTTTTTCTTTTTAAATTCCCTGTTTTCTTTCTCTTTTCCTTTCTTTCTCTTTTCCTTTCTTTCTCTTTTCCTTTCTTTTTGTAGAAATAAAGAGGAAATGGCTCCAGCCATACAGGCTGTCGAATTACAGAGTGTGTACCTCCAGGACGTTGTAGCAACCTGTTACTGTGCCACTGGAACACATTTAATAAGAAAGAAGAGAAAAATGCATCTTTTGGACAGCAAATCTTCATGAGAAGAGCAGGGTGCTTCTGTAAACCCCCTCCACTTTCTGCCTGAAACATCCTATGCCCATCCCATGAGATTTTTTTAAATATGTTGAAATGTTTAGTGGAATAATGTTTAAATACTGTGGGTGTGCACTGTTGGTGACTGTCACTCAAAGCGTAGGATGTGGTTTGGCGATGGATGGCACAGAGCTGTGCGTTTCTCTGCTACTTGCAGCGCTGGGGTTCTTCCCTGTTGCTTTTACAGGGCTGCATCCTTCCCCAGCACCAAAATACAAATTCTGAGTTCTATGATCAAGCTGATTCTGTTCAGGAAAAGCTCCGGTGCTTGAGGAAAGGCAGTCACAGCACCAGAGAAGTGGTCGGGGTGGAAGGGATGTAGCAGTCGTTACGGTGCAGAAGCATTGTGCTGCAGTGCTGCTTCGCCTTCTGCAATAACGCCTTGGAAAGCACTGCATCTGCTTCCTATAGCAGGAATCGGCCTCAGCTGGGAGCTGTGGCACTTCTGCTTTGGTTCTTTATTGATTTGCGAGGCACTTCGGTGCACGGCGTGTGTATATATGTGTATGTATTGGTGGGTGGGTGTGTGCAGCGTCTGCAGAAGCTGCTGTGAGGGTTGGGGTGAAAGAGGAGAGGAAAAAAAAGGACAAAAGGAAAAGTGTGTGTGGGGGGGAGGGTGTGTGTGAAAGAAGGAAATAGGAAAGGAGAAAAAAATAGTGGAAAAAGAGGGAATAATGAAAGAAACAAAAGGGACACGAGAGAAATAATAATAATAAAAACAAACAGGGAAAGAAAGGTAAAAAAAGAAAAGAAAGAGAGGGGAAAGAAAACAAAAATAGGGGAGATGCCCTCTCCTCGGGCAGGCAGCGTCCCAGGCCTCGCCGCCCCGATGCCGCCGGAGCTCCGCTCCCTGCCCGTCCCGCGGCGCCGCGCAGCGCTTTACCTGCCCGCCGCGCCGCGGGGCCGCGCACGTGTGCCCGCGTCCCGACTGCTGGAGGCGCGCGGCCGCCATGCGGTTACCCGTGGCAACCGCAGCCCGTGGCAACGGAGAGGGAAGAGAGGGAGGGGGCTCCGCGCGGGAACAAAGGGGGCGGTGGCTCCGCGCCCCCCGCCCTGCAGAGGGAGCGTCCCTCCGCGCCGCCAGGGGGCGCTGCGGTGCAGCTGGAGGCGCGGGGCGGGCGGCGCCCTCGCGGTGAGTGCGCGGCTGCGCGGGGCTGCGGCGCTTGTAGCGCTTGTGTGTGTGCGCAAATGGCGGCCGGCCGCGGCTTCGTGCTCCCCGCCCCGCGCAGCCCTGCCAGCAGAGAAAGCAAAGCGAAGCAAAACAAAATATCTTATTCTTTTGGTTTGATTTATTTTACTTCATCTTGCTTGATTGGGGGGCCTTCCCGCGCTCCCCGTGATGTAAGCCGTGGTGCCTGGGAGCACCGGGCAGGATTTATGTAATTAATTGACCAGTCTTAACCTGTTATCGTGATGTAAGGAATTTGGAACTCATTAATTTGGGCCCTGACAGATTTCATATTAGAGCTGGCAAATATGGATTGAGCCTCTTACTCTGGTAGCGGCTGGAATTTCAGTGACAGTGAGGATTAGCGAAGAAGACCTATTGCTGGAGTCAGGCTGCCTCTTTGTAATCAGCAGCCCCGCTCCGCATGAACGGGGTGATGGGGAGAGGAAAAAATAAATACCAAAAGGGGGAAAAACAAAAGAATACAGGGAGATGTGCTCATGTAGGGCGCAGAGCAGGGAGGAGAGGGCAGGCCGGAGGCAGCCGGAGCCTGCTTAAAGGCTGCGGTGGGAAATCATGGTTCAGATTAAAACACGGCAAATGTGTGGCTGTGTCCTCTGGGCAGCCCCATCCAGCCCACTGCTCCTCTCCTGTTGTTGCTGCCCTCCATCTGGGGATCTCATCCGTGCTGAACGTATTGTGGGTGCCCGTTCTGTCCCTTGGGGAAGGCTTCCCAATGTTGGGATTCACACCCACAGCAGGGCCCGCTGTGCTCTCAGCAGATAACGCTCTGGATCATAGCTTTAAGCCACTTGGTTTAATGCAAAGCAATGAAATCCAGACCCACAGAGTATGGCTTCACTGCCCTGCTTCATAGAGCATCCTTTGTCTGGCTGCCTCGCCCTGCTCAAGGAGCTCATGCTTCCCTGTAGGCAGGGAGGAATTCACCTCTTGATAAAATGTCAACCAAGCACAACAAATGTCCTTGTTCATTTAAACGTGCCACACGTGCCTAACCT